CCAAGTGTTCTCCCAAATGCTCTACCAAACCTCTTTCTTTGCTCCTCACCAAAATATTAACAGCAGTGAAGGAAAAACTGCAGGAGTACTGTACAACAATATATTTGAGAAGTGATGTAGATCAGATGTGGATACTTAAAAAATCAAAGAAACTTTTAGAAAATTTGAAATCACAAAATTTAACCAAAATCAATAACATCAAAACGTACGACTTTTCAACACTTTATACAACCATTCCCCACGATAAATTAAAGTCCAGGCTTTTTGACGTCTTAAACAATTGCTTTTTCAATTAAAATGGAACTCGTAAATTTTCTTACCTTGTTATTGATTATTTGCAACATTATTTTGTTAAAAACATTCTGATTTTTCACACAGGTACTCTGAAAATGATATTAAAAAGGTGCTTGAGTTTCTGATTGACAGTATCAGGTCTTCCAACAATCTGTCAGTATTCCCATGGTGCCAATTACGCCCCGTTATTAGGAGACCTATTTGTGTATTGATATGAAGCAGAATTAATTTAAAAACTTATACACAAGAAGAAGACACTTGCTGTGGCCTTCACCTAGACAATTAGATATTTTGATGACGTATTATCTATTAATAATAGTTACTTCTATTCGTAAGTCGACTATATATATTCCAGCGAACTTGAAATAAAAGATACCACAGAGTCTGACACATTTGTTTCATATCTGGATTTTTTAAACTAGAATAAGACTTAAATGGTTACCTAACAACAAAATTTTAAGATAAACGTGACGACTTCAACTTTTCTATCTTCCCATACTTACGAACGTAGCAATATACCCTTATCACCTGCATATGGGGTTTACATCTCCCATTTGAAACAGGTCACGGTAGCCTAGTGGTAGGACATGCGCTGTGTGATCGGATCAATTCTCGTTTGCGCCGCGTCAAGCCTAAGATGTAAACATATGTATTTAATTTTCCTTCGCCAAACGCCCGGCATTAGAAGTGAAAATCACGGGTCTTTCGGATGAGACCTTAAAAACCGAGGTCCCGTGTCACGGTAGATGTTGGTACGATAAAGAACCCTCACTGCTTAATGGCTCTGAGTGCTGAGTAAAGGTCAAAATTTGAAGCTCTTCACCGGCGTCTCTATATGAGTGAAAAATTCTTGAATGGGACGTTAAACAACACACAATTAATCAATCAACCTTCCAGTTGATCCGATGTGCAAGAGCATGCTCCACGTAAGAACAATTACTAAAACGAGGCAAGCTTTTGACAAGTCAAGGATATCAACTGTTTCGTTCAAAGTCATCATTTTGCAAGTTCTTTGGTCGATAGAATGACCTTGTCAGCAAAAACAATATATCATTAAGTAAAATACTGACTGACTTTTTTCGTTTTAATTGTTAGGCCATTATTTAAACACTGAACTCTCTACAGATTTTTCCTGTTTGCCCGATCATAACAATGAGCACACGGCGGCTGTGACCGGTCGACAGGGGAAGCTTACTCCTCCATGGCACCTGATCCTACCTCTGATGTTTTTTTAGCGGTCCAACTTCGCTCTGCTCCCAATTTGTATTGTTTCAATGGAATTTTGAGCTTGATTACTGTTCGTTATCTCTATATTTCATTACTTATTTGAATATATATGAAATCAGACAAAATTGTCAATAAATCATAAAAGTAAAATGTAAACAAGATTTATCCTTTTATTCCTGAGACATTCTATAACACTATGGTTTTCCTTTTTATAATACAATGTTATCCTTATGTCACTTTACTTATTTAATGTCTACACAACAGTTTTGATTATTGTTTTGTTTATTGATAATTGATATTGACATTCTATAGCACAATGGTTTTCCTTTTTATAATACAATGTTATCCTTATGTCACTTTACTTATGTAATGTCTACACAACAGTTTTGATTATTGTTTTGTTTATTGATAATTGATATTGACATTCTATAACACAATGGTTTTCCTTTTTATAATACAATGTTATCCTTATGTCACTTTACTTATGTAATGTCTACACAACAGTTTTGATTATTGTTTTGTTTATTGAAAATTGATATTGACATTCTATAACACAATGGGTTTCCTTTTTATAATACAATGTTATCCTTATGTCACTTTACTTATGTAATGTCTACACAACAGTTTTGATTATTGTTTTGTTTATTGATAATTGATATTGACATTCTATAACACAATGGGTTTCCTTTTTATAATACAATGTTATCCTTATGTCACTTTACTTATGTAATGTCTACACAACAGTTTTGATTATTGTTTTGTTTATTGATAATTGATATTGACATTCTATAGCACAATGGTTTTATAATACAATGTTATCCTTATGTCCACTTTACTTATTTAATGTCTACACAACAGTTTTGATTATTGTTTTGTTTATTGATAATTGATATTGACATTCTATAACACAATGGGTTTCCTTTTTATAATACAATGTTATCCTTATGTCCACTTTACTTATGTAATGTCTACACAACAGTTTTGATTATTGTTTTGTTTATTGATAATTGATATTGACATTCTATAGCACAATGGGTTTCCTTTTTATAATACAATGTTATCCTTATGTCCACTTTACTTATGTAATGTCTACACAACAGTTTTGATTATTGTTTTGTTTATTGATAATTGATATTGACATTCTATAACACAATGGTTTTCCTTTTTATAATACAATGTTATCCTTATGTCACTTTACTTATGTAATGTCTACACAACAGTTTTGATTATTGTTTTGTTTATTGATAATTGATATTGACATTCTATAACACAATGGGTTTCCTTTTTATAATACAATGTTATCCTTATGTCCACTTTACTTATGTAATGTCTACACAACAGTTTTGATTATTGTTTTGTTTATTGATAATTGATATTGACATTCTATAGCACAATGGTTTTCCTTTTTATAATACAATGTTATCCTTATGTCCACTTTACTTATGTAATGTCTACACAACAGTTTTGATTATTGTTTTGTTTATTGATAATTGATATTGACATTCTATAGCACAATGGTTTTCCTTTTTATAATACAATGTTATCCTTATGTCCACTTTACTTATGTAATGTCTACACAACAGTTTTGATTATTGTTTTGTTTATTGATAATTGATATTGACATTCTATAGCACAATGGGTTTCCTTTTTATAATACAATGTTATCCTTATGTCCACTTTACTTATGTAATGTCTACACAATAGTTTTGATTATTGTTTTGTTTATTGATAATTGATATTGACATTCTATAACACAATGGTTTTCCTTTTTATAATACAATGTTATCCTTATGTCACTTTACTTATGTAATGTCTACACAACAGTTTTGATTATTGTTTTGTTTATTGATAATTGATATTGACATTCTATAACACAATGGTTTTCCTTTTTATAATACAATGTTATCCTTATGTCACTTTACTTATGTAATGTCTACACTACAGTTTTGATTATTGTTTTGTTTATTGATAATTGATATTGACATTCTATAACACAATGGTTTTCCTTTTTATAATACAATGTTATCCTTATGTCACTTTACTTATGTAATGTCTACACAACAGTTTTGATTATTGTTTTGTTTATTGAAAATTGATATTGACATTCTATAACACAATGGGTTTCCTTTTTATAATACAATGTTATCCTTATGTCACTTTACTTATGTAATGTCTACACAATAGTTTTTATTATTGTTTTGTTTATTGATAATTGATATTGACATTCTATAGCACAATGGTTTTCCTTTTTATAATACAATGTTATCCTTATGTCACTTTACTTATGTAATGTCTACACAATAGTTTTGATTATTGTTTTGTTTATTGATAATTGATATTGACATTCTATAGCACAATGGTTTTCCTTTTTATAATACAATGTTATCCTTATGTCCACTTTACTTATGTAATGTCTACACAATAGTTTTTATTATTGTTTTGTTTATTGATAATTGATATTGACATTCTATAGCACAATGGTTTTCCTTTTTATAATACAATGTTATCCTTATGTCACTTTACTTATGTAATGTCTACACAATAGTTTTGATTATTGTTTTGTTTATTGATAATTGATATTGACATTCTATAACACAATGGTTTTCCTTTTTATAATACAATGTTATCCTTATGTCACTTTACTTATGTAATGTCTACACAACAGTTTTGATTATTGTTTTGTTTATAGATAATTGATATTGACATTCTATAGCACAATGGTTTTCCTTTTTATAATACAATGTTATCCTTATGTCCACTTTACTTATGTAATGTCTACACAACAGTTTTGATTATTGTTTTGTTTATTGATAATTGATATTGACATTCTATAACACAATGGTTTTCCTTTTTATAATACAATGTTATCCTTATGTCACTTTACTTATGTAATGTCTTCACAACAGTTTTGATTATTGTTTTGTTTATTGATAATTGATATTGACATTCTATAGCACAATGGTTTTCCTTTTTATAATACAATGTTATCCTTATGTCACTTTACTTATGTAATGTCTTCACAACAGTTTTGATTATTGTTTTGTTTATAGATAATTGATATTGACATTCTATAGCACAATGGTTTTCCTTTTTATAATACAATGTTATCCTTATGTCACTTTACTTATGTAATGTCTTCACAACAGTTTTGATTATTGTTTTGTTTATTGATAATTGATATTGACATTCTATAGCACAATGGTTTTCCTTTTTATAATACAATGTTATCCTTATGTCCACTTTACTTATTAATGTCTACACAATAGTTTTGATTATTGATTTGTTTATTGATGATCGCTCTAAGCAATCATATTAATGGCAATTTAAGGACATATTTAGGAATTTCTTACGTGTAGATATGGAGTCACCTATCTTTGTGTAATACATTACAGGACTGATTCATACTTACATCAATAAACCTTTAATCCATATATCAAATAACAGAGAAAGATCTAACTTATCAACTATTCATAAGGTACATTTATTCATGGTATAATAAAACACTATTATTTAAAAATCCATTCCTAAGATGCAGAAAAAAAAACCATGAAGATGAATTCTGTAATCTGATTACAAACATCCTGAAAACAGAATTTACAACCAATATTGCACTGAGGTAACTATAGTAATATACATGTAGCAAAATATATTTTAAGAAGTCCACAGATACACTTTTAAAATATTATGCGGCGAGTTTTTCTCTGATCCACTGTAGATGACTTTTGACATTGGTATACACCCCTGGAGAATTAGGATCCCCACAGCCTCTTCCCCAAGAAGTTGCCCCCATTGCAGTATATTTACCTTGAAAGAAATAATTAAAGAACATAAGATACACAAAAAGCTACCCTGCTTTTAAAGACAAATAAAATAAAGTGCTTACCATTGACTTTACAGACCATGGGTCCCCCACTGTCCCCTTGACAGGTATCAGCTCCACCCTTTATGTACCCTGCACAGAACATACTGTCAGACAAGGAACCTTTGTAAAGTCTTCGGCATGTCCTCTGCTTTATAATCGGAATTTGTGCATATTTAAGGAGATTTGGTGATCCTGTAATTTTATTGAAAAAAATTTGCATTAACAAACATATTACTGGAACACTTTTAGTACATCTGTATATGTTTTTACCATATTTTGAGGTTACAATGATGTTATATGAAACATTACAAACCCAATTCCGTTTTGCCCCATCCAGATATGTAACAATCCAGATCTACGTCGTACACTGTGGTTTCTGTTGGCAGACAGACAGGCTGAACGTACAAACCCATTGTTATACCACGACCATCTTTAGGAGTTATCTTTATCAAGGCTATGTCATTGACATAAGTTACATCTGCAAAAGAATTAAATTAAACATTACATTACTAAATTATATTATATTTTATTCATTACATTATTATATTATATTATATTATTACATCTGATTATCATATTACATTATATTATTACAAGCATTGCCTTATGATCACTACTAGACCTTTTAAGATTAGAAACCATATATGAATAAATACATGTTCCATATTTTTCGGGGAAATGACAAAATGTAAAGGACACAGTTTTGATATACTCACCATCATACTCCTCATGCATGTAAATTTCTTCTATTTCAAATTCTTCTTCGTAGGGATCTGGGTCCTTGTTGTTCAAATCTCCAACTCTAACTAGCAGCCTTGATTTCACCTCACTATAATACAAGAGAAAATTTAATCATGAATAGCTTTTAGTACACTAAAACATGTTCCATGTTAACTTTAACATGTTATATGAAGATAAAGAAAAGTTTGTTTGTTTGTATGCTGTTTAACGTGCCTCTCGAGAATTTTTCACTCATATGAAGACGCCACCATTTGCCGGTGGAGAGCTGCAAATTTTGTCCTATACTCAGCACTTACGGCCATTGAGCAGTGAGGGGTCTTTTTCGTGCCAGCACCTACTGCGACACGGGACCTCGGTTTATAAGGTCTCATCCGAAGGACCAGTCTCTTCGTCCCACAGTGGGATTCGAACCCGCGACGTAAGGATCAACTCCTTACTTCGCGACTCTAGAGCAGACGCTCTAACCACTGCGCCACGCGGGCGACGATAGAGAAAAGTAATCATGCTCCAAGTCCAACCAAACAATACAAACTATGAGCAGGGAAAAACAGGGGTCTCTGAAAACAGAAGTTGGATCAGGTGTCACAAAGGAGTGAGCTTCACCTATCGACCGGTCACACCCGCCGTGTGCTCTTTGTCATGATCGGGTAAATGGGAAAATCCTTATTTATGGAGTAATATTCCGCTATCGCCTGCATATGGTTTTTATGTTTCCCACCTTATTCGATATTCAAGAACATGCTCTAAGCATACGAACAATCTTAAAACTGAAACAGACTACTGACAGATAAGTTGATGCTACAGGGATAAAATTAACGGCCTAACATCGTATGACAGACGTCAGTCAACATTCGTCTTAACGATAGACTGAAGTTGCAAACAAGGTCATTGTATCGATTATGGCCTAAATCTGCTCTTCATTACAGGAAGGGGACTGCAGTGATAATGTATTTCTCTGTTATTAAAAGGCAAGAAATATCTTCTTTTTTACTTAAGCTTAGCATGTGCATGTAACTGTTCACATTTATCTTTAAAAATAAAAAAACTAACTCATCAAAACAATGTGCAGCACTTAGAATCCAGGATGGACTGAGAATGGTTCCTCCGCAGTGATGTGCATCTATTTGTCTGGTTCTTGTTTTAAAGATGATTTTCCTAATGGCCACTTGCCACGGAAACATTCCATAGTCAGCATTAAATCCACTAAATATCTTTAGTGGAGGTCGCCATTCCTCAACTGTTCTCTCCTCCGTGTCTCTTCTTCGTCTAGAGTTGATCAGCGATTCCATTGGACGTTGGCCGCACTCTTGAAAGAATAATAATCCCATTTTCTATGTTGCTCACTGGCTAGACTTCACAATTCGTTAAAATTTTTTAGTAAGGATTAAGATAATTTTTATTAAATTTTGTTTTAAAAAAATTCAATCCTAAGCATTGCTAGTTGTACTAGTACTGTGAAATCACAATTTTGTTTTTTAAAGAGGATTTAACTTTCGTTGTTTTCGTGGTATAAAGCGCCCCACAAATTCATGTCCTCCATAAAATGTAAATATTTCAAATGCATTACTCAACCCTTCTTCCATCGTCGGATCCACGCGGATGGTCTCATCTTTTGACTAAAAGACAGGATCACCCATGGACATCCAACGATGCGCTTCTTCAACCATGAGATTAAATCCCCACAAACTAATATTTTCCCCTCAAACCACGGAAATTTGCCAAAACGAAAATAAGTGATTTTTCAGTATGTATATTTAGTAGAAGAAATTCACTAATGTTTGACCTTATGAGGATACCAGTCTATTCAACAAGCTTCGTCAAAAATGTACATCTCTGTATGAGTGATTATTTGACGTTCAACAATATACAATCAACCAATCAGTCAAAATAAACAACCTGATCAATTTCCAAGCATTCAGAGTGTATTTTACGAAATATTCTCTCAACAAAGGACCAATTTAGAAAAAAAAAACCAAATATCTATGCACCTGAAGGGAGTTCATTCAAATCATCTGTAGAAAAGGCATCATCAGCATAACATATAACACCAGCATCTTCAGAATGACCACAGTTATTGATGCCCCATCCAGCATTATCACAATCTAGCAAAGAATCCTCATCACCATTGCAAGCCACGTCATCCAGGTAAATAGGACCAGTCCCTTGTCCAAATCGGGCATTGGATACCGCTGCCCCACTCCTACAATTATTACATAACTTTAGTTCATAATTAAGTGTTAAGAAATATTCAATAAATCGAAACGTGCAAGGAAAAAAATTATGAATTGGGTGGGTTAGTCTCTAAATTTTCCATTATATGAAAGTAGAATTCTATAAAGTTTCTTTGATTCCATTGATGGTATATATGCTAACAAACTAACTAGGACCACTGAACACATTTGGTGAATAACCTGCCATGTTTGAATGAAAAACTTTTCAACCTTTTACCTGTAATATTGTCTATTGTTGCTTACTACCCCCTCACCTGTATCCCAACATTCTGCACACGACTTTGGCATCAAGGTCGTCCCAATCGTCATCACACACAGTTCCATTGACCCCCTTGTGGTTTATTTCTATTGTTCCCAGGCTCTTAACCCCACTTAAGTTGTTCACTAAACGAATTTTTATTTTATCTGTAAAACGAAAATAAATCATAATATAATACGGAGATTTTCGTATTGGAATCCGTAATTGAAAAATTTTTATCTTATGGATAATAACTATCCACAGATACATGTAGTTCACTAAGTTGTTTGTAAATATCTTTATTCTTCGACATCCAACAGACATAACCTGTCTATAATTTGATAAATAATATTCTATCTATGAAAATTAAGGACTTTGAAACCAAGGGACTTTTTTTTACGGAATTTCATCTTTAAAAAGGCTGTAGTTCCTCTAGGAACAATTTATATTGATAATTAGCGATAAAAAACTACTTTTGTTTGAAAAAAGTACAAGCTACTAAGGCCAACAACCTTTCATTTACAACATTTTTTTAAGAACACTGGTCCTCCAAATATGGCAGAAAGATTAATTTACTCCTAGATAGAAGATCTCAGTAAACCGGGTAAGGAGAGAGAGAACGCTGGTTCATTAATTGTAAGCCAGAAATTGGAAATGTGTTAATTAAAGGTACTAAGTAAGTCCTGGTTACTAGTTGACGCTTATCATGAGGCAGAGGAAGAAAATACCTTATTCAAAAACACCTTCTCAGATAGGTTATCATTGCGCAAATAATTCTAACTCTTAAAATAATGGATTACAAGCACAAGGGAAGAGCAAGATGGAATCTGAGGAGAAAGTAAAGAAAGCAGTTACAGAGTATGGTGACATATTTCTGCTATTCTATGCCACTTCTACAAAGTATGGTGGTATTCCTCCCACCCTATCGCTTTTTATTTTTCCAAAGATAATGTCGACATGCAAGATAACTGTTAGCTTATACAGCAAAAAATTGTCAAGAGTTTTATTACCTTGCAACTAACTATGACGACATGCTAAAATTATAATGTGATCGGATAAGAATTAAGAAATATCAAGTATCGTCCACATGTGCTTTCCATATGATAGAGAATGTGTGTTGAAATGCAACTCTCACCTGTTGCTAACAATGAAATATTGAGAAAACGAACGGTAATTAAGCTCAAAAGTCCATTGAAATAATACAAACTAGGAGCAGAGCAAACACGGGCCTCTAAAAAAGATCAGAGGTGGGATCAGGGGCCATGAGGAAGTAAGCACATCCTGTCGGCCAGCCACACCCACCGTGTGCTCTTTATCATGATCGGGCAAACAGAAAAAATCCGTAGACAATTTCGTGTGAAAATAATGGCCTTAAAATTAGTATGAAAAACGTCAGTCAACATTTGACTTAATAATTAAAGATTATATTTGCCGACAAGGTCATTGTATCGACCATAGAACTTAAAAAATTATAACTTTAAACGAGACTGTTGATATCCTTGTTTCATCAACTTGTTTGTCAATAGCTTGCCTCGTTTTAGAAATTGTGCGTAGTGTAGCATGCTCTTGCTTATCTATATTAACCCCATATGCAGCTAATTTATGCTGACATGCAACTTTTGCACGTTGACAAGTAATTTATTGATGTTGGTCTGCGTCTAAAATGCAGATGTCAATTATGGGCTTCTACATGAGAATAAGAAAACACTTGCTGTGGCCTTCAACGCGACATTATGATATATCATCAATTAAAAATAGTTACTTCCATTCATATATTATTATCCCAGTGAGCTTAAAATAAAAGATATCACAGAGTCTGAGACTTCTGTTTCCTGTTAGGATATTTTACTAAAAAAAAAGACATTAATGGTAACCTAACAACAAAGTTTTATGATAAACGTGATGACTTCAATTTTTTCAATCGTCAACTTCCCTTACTCATGAAGCAATATACCCTCATCACCTGCTTATGGTTTTTTTGTCTCCCAGTTAATTCGATACGCAAAAGCATACTCTACGAATGAACAATATCTAAAACGAGGCAAGCTATTGACAAACAAATTGATGAAACAAAGATATCAACAGTCTCTTAAAGTCATCAGTTTGCAAGTTTTATGGTCGATACAATGACCTTGTCAGCAAATACAACCTATCATTAAGCCAAATGCTGACTGACTTTTTCATACTAATTGTAAGGCCATTATTTACACTGAATTGTCGACGGATTCTTCCGTTTTTTCTCGATCATGATAACGAACACACGGTGGGTGTAACCGGTCGGCAAGGGATGCTCACTCCTCCATGGCACCTGATCCCACCTCTGACGTTTTGGAGGTCCGTGATTGTATTGTTTTAATGGACTTTGAGCTTGAATATTGTTCGTTATTTCCGTATTTCATAAAAAAGGAAATAATTTAAACCTTCTGATCTTTATATGAATTTAGCTCATCTAAAACAAGGAAAGAGTGAAAGGAAAGTACAAACGATCAAATAGCTATTGGAAGAAAACTGAGAGGGTAGTGGGATTATTTTTTATAACATGGACGGAGATAGAATTACACTGGGAATTTTTTTTTATGGCAAGCAGAAAAGCAATTGAATTAATCTCTCTTGCGTATCAAATCAACTGGGAGACAGACATAAACTCCATGAGAATGGTATATTGCAACATTGACGATAGAACAGTTGAAGCCATCATGTTTATCATAAAGTCTAGTTGTCAGTTTGTCGTTATGTTTTTTCTCTAGTAAAACAGCCAAATTAAACAGATGTGTCAGACTCTGAGTTGCCTTTTTTAGTTCAATGATATATATCGAACCAACGTAAGAATGAAAATGAATATGGTTAATTGATAAAAAGTCTTCAATATATATGTAAATGTCGAATTGAAGGTCAAAGCAAGAGACTTCCACTTTTTTGTAGACGTTTCCTTTTATATAAATTCTTCATATGAATATAAAAACAGATTTGCCAATAATGGGGCAAAATAAGAATCCTAAACAGTAAAACGAGATGTGTAAATTTTTGAAATGGAATTTTAAAAAAAATGACCTGAGCTTTGATCTATTGTTGTTGGAGATAATGTGGTGGAAGGGGCATCACAAATAACACCCACATCCTCAGAATGTTCACAATTGTTGATGCCCCATCCATTGTGTCTACACTGAGATATGGATTTCTCTGTTCCCTGGCACTTGACATCATCAAGAAGAGTAATTCCTGAACCCGGACCAAAGTAACCTTCCTCTGCAACTACACCACCTCTGCAACATAAAATAGACTCTAGTTGTATCAATTATCAATTTTGGATCAATAGGCAAGTGTTTTCCATATTTGACTGAAAAAAAGATTAATATATATCCTTGAATTTAATGACTGTCATGAATTCTGACTTTTACAGAATCCATTTTATTGGAAGCAATGTCAATAGGAGAAGCACACACTATAACAATTTGTTTCACATGAACTGAATTCCAGGTTTGTGAATAAGTTTAAAGTAAATCCCCATGATATGGAACAATTACCTGTAGCCAAGCATGTGACAAATTACTCTGGCCTCTATATCAGTGAAGAAGTCGTCACATACAGTCCCTGTCTTATTTTGCACAATTAACATCACTCGCCCTTCATTGGGAACATTTCCCTCAATCAACCGGACTCTCACTTCTGGAGCAGCTGTTGGATTATTTTATGTGATTTATTGTGGGCGTTTCATAAAATATTCAAACGACAAAATAGACATTTTTATTTAATTTAAGTATTAGAGGAATCACAATTTTATAAACTTGAGAGAAAACACCTGAATACTTGTACATCTACAAATCTTACAAACAGACTCATCTTCACAATCAACACCAATGTCTTCTTCATGTTTACAATCTGAGACTCCCCATCCAACATGTTTACAATCCTGGATGTTGGATTCATTTCCATGACAGTTCAGACTATCAAGCCAGATAGTGCCCTTACCAGGACCATACAGCTTAGAAGGTTTACCACCACTGAAAGGTAAATTTATCATCTGCAATCTCTTCTTTTTTTTTTACAGATTCTATATGTACATAATCATGAACCATGCTCATTTTAGAGCCTTCTGAATATGCACCTGTATCCAAGCATATTACAGACAACATTGGCATCCTTGCCATCAAAGTCATCATCACAGACAGATCCTGATCTCCCTTTATACCAAATCTTTATACGACCTCTACTGGCAGCTCCACCATCAACCAGTCTGATCCTCACTGCAATTAAAAGGCTTCTGTAACATGGATGTAGAATTTAAATACAGGTAATTTTCAAATTATAGGGATTCTTATCACCTGTGGATGATTGAATAGTGGACTCTGTAGTTGTGGTGGATTTTCTGGTAGTAACATCTGTAGCACCTGCACAGAAGAATTAAAACAAGAAGACTCACAAAATATATAACTTACTCTTTATGTAATATATGATTTAATCAACAAGTACATGAAAAATGTAAAAACTAACTACCTAAGAGAATAATAACTTAAGAAATTTAATCAATACCTTCACAAATAACACCTGCATCCTCTGTATGACCACAATTATGTTCTCCCCAGGGTCTGCTAGAACATTCCAACAGAGAGGATTCATTACCATGACACTCAACATCATCAAGCCAGATGACCCCTGAACCTGCCCCAAAGGTTGCGTCGAATTTTGCCTGGCCACCTCTGCAATGTTGTTTTGATGGGTAGAGTATCAATAACTTTATAACTTAATTTTATTGTGAAAAAAGTTTATACATAGGAAATTTGGTCACTTTCTCTAATACTACTGGTTCAGTTGTACACTGAGCAAGCAATTTATAGATGTTCCTTACAGAAAGCCAAGCATTCTGCAGACAACAGCAGCACTTTTATCTGACCAGCCATCATCACAAATGGTCCCTTTGAGTCCATTCCTTACTATTTCAACTCTCCCACTGTTTGGGCCATTTCCATTCACCAGGTTAACTTGTATATCTGTATTGTTAATACCTTATATTTTAGACAGTTTGAAGAATATGGTGTGAGAAGGGGATCGTAATTTTACACAATAAAACTATTACTTGTAAATATATACTGAGAAATGCATTCGTATAACTTTTTTGTATTCCTTGAAAATATTTTTTTTATTTTTAATGCATTTATAACTCGTACCACATCTGTTTTCATCCGAGTGATCTGAGCAATCATCTGTACCGTCGCATACTTGTTGAGATGTCAAACATTTATTATTATCACATTGGAATTCTTCTTCAGTACATTCTTTAAAAAAAATTAAACAAAATAAATTTCAACTGAAGAAATATAAAACATTGGTAAAAATGGTCCTCTTGATCTGGTGAAAGTTTCATATAGACATTTGAAGTGCACAGTAGTTGACCTAACAATTTAATGTGTTACCTTTATATGGATAACATACAACCCCTGCAACTTCATATGATGTGCAGTCATGATCCTTCCATGGTTCTTTATCACACTCCTCCAAAGTTCTCTCGGTGCCATTGCAGTTTACCTCGTCCAAGAGAAAGTTTCCATTTCCATAACCAAAGGAACCCAACCGTGTAGCCTTCTCTGCTCCTCTATGGTATTTTTTCATTAGCAAGCAATAACAAAGAAAGTTTGCAAAGGTACGAACTAAACAACACTCTGCTGAGGGTTGTCAAAAAGGTTCGTGAGCAGTCGCATTTTCAAAGAAATTGTATCGATAAGCAGATGAATTTCGTATCAAAATATGTGTTGCTGAAAGTCAACGGTATACTAAGTACTAGAGATAAAACGAGCAAGAATAGAAGAGCAAGGAGTATGTCGCATTTTCGTATATTTTAATCAATGAATTCAAACGTTTAAAATATCATATCACTTTTAAGTACTTGTATACCTAAATTGATGGAATTTTAACAACCGTTACTTCTCAACATGAACGTTAATTTTGATTTTCCATTGTGACGTTGCATTTGTACGGCCTTCAACATTTGTAACCTCAAAGTAATATTCATTACTTTTGTTTTGACCTTCCTCTTCGTGTTATATAGTGTTTTGTATGCCGTAGTTTTGAACGATTGTAAATATAAGGTATAAGTTATAATGGAATTTTGAAGGGAATAAAATTGTCAGAAACAAATACTGATATGTCTAAAGGATCAGTAGTTGTTATATGGAACATCTAAGAGACTCTGAAAAAGTGAAAATATCTTTGTTGATTTAATTTACTAAATTAAACAATTGTTTCATGACTTTTTTTTTCTATTAACCCCCCCCCCCTTTTTTCCGTTAAATAGATGTACCAGCTTATTGGTTTTAGAAATTATATGGTTTTAATTTAACTACATATTGTTATCCAAGAACTTGCCGTTACTAGGATTGGAAAAATTTGGCCTGATACAAATACTGATGAAAATAGAGGGATAATAATGATACATTTAGTCAAGTAGCGCATTTTACAAGAGAATGTAATTCTCATGTTAGATTAGTCTTTACACTAAATGCGCAAAAAATACAGTAAATTTATGCTTTAATTAACATATTCCCACATATTCACTTGTATATGATTCTCTCTCTCTCTTTATATATATATATATATCTTATCAAATAATTTTATTTGCTTTTCTAATTCTGAACGGTCTTAAATGTATCACTCATGTATGACCTCAATGCTTTCTATGATTTCAATGTTATGTTTATTAATCATCATTCTATTCCCGGGGTAATTAACAGAGTCTTTTTTTTAAGAGAAAAAAAGTATCATTTCCCTGCGGTGAACTATAAGTGCGGGAAACGCAAAATATTACAGTTGGAATTATCCTCCAGCAGGATAGGCCATTTCTATCGACCTTTCATGAAAAATATTTATGACACTAAATCAACATATTTGCCGATTTTTTTTTAATTAGGAAACTACCAGCTGATTTGTTTTAAAGATTCTTCCTTCTAATTACGAACATGTCCATAAAAACTGAATAACCAATTCATACAAAACTTAGCTTACCCCTCGAAGCCCAGCATTCTGCAGACAACTCTTGCATCTCTAATGTCCCAGTTGTCATCACATATAACTCCCCATTCCCCATAGTATTGAAGCTCCACTCTGCCGGAATGGCCATTGTCACCGTCCACTAGACGAATTCCCAGAGGAGGAACAGTATTCTCAACTATAAAAAAAATACCTCCATCATTCTGCCTCTGTATTTCCTCTTTGTAAAATACAATATTTTGCATGTTAAACTTGATCATCTCCCATTGTTTTCATTTTTACATGTGTCAGAAATCATAATTTTATTTTAAGGACTGAAAAAGCAAAAATCAATTTTGATATACTAACAAAAATTCTTCCTTTCAAAATGTCAAAGCGCAAATGGAAATCGAAATGTATTTTCAATCATCTCAACACTCACCGCACCCCTCCTCATCTGAGAGATCCCCGCAGTCATCGTGTGAGTTACATTGTAGATTTCGTTCAATACAGCGGCCATTCTTACACTTGAATTCTCCGGGACATCCTCCTAAAACAAGTATATATATATATATATATATGCATTGCCAAACAGCCCACATATACTGCAGTTATAATACACAGACAAAGAAATGACTTAGATTGTATTATAGACAACCATATACATGTAGTGTGTTCTAATGTCTTCTTTAACGGAAATAAAATTCGGAAAAGTGTCATCTGCGTGAATTTAAAACTAGCTTTTATAAATTGCATATTACAGAACATTGTGAATTATTAATAATTAATATGAACTATCGCTATTTAAAGCGCATTGTATTATACAATAATTTCAAATTTTTTTAAACACTCTCCAAACACTTCCAGAAACATGGGATACAGCTTAGCAGCACAGGCACTACGTTAGATATTTTTCTTATAAAAAAAAAAAACAAAAAACAAACAAACAAACAAAAACCTAATAATTCAGTGTATTATTAGGTTTGGGTGTATATTTTTTTCAAATAAGAAAAATATCTAACGTCAAGTGCCTGTGCCTAGCAGCATTATTGCCCTAAAATTTCCCAGATTCAATCCATATCTATACAGAAAATATACCCAGTATGCTTTGTTTAAAAACAATTATATCCCTAAAAAAAGGGAGAAAAGTTATATGGAAGATGGATACTGCTATTGTAAAATTTGGACGAATTTAAAATCTAAATTCAAAAATTTTTCAATTTTAAAATGTCCTTTTGGAACTGAAATTATATAATTTGTAACAAGAATGTAAAATAAAAATACTATGGAAGCCGATTATTGTCATTTAAATGATTTACACCTTCGTCTTCTTTTCTCTGAAGGAAATTTTTGAAGCATTTACTGTTCCCTGTAAATAATAACTTCGTTAAGTTTTCTACCAGTTCCATGTCAAATTAGGTATGACAGTACAACGTGAAAAAAATTCTCACAATTTATCAGGGAAGTTACATTTGATTTAGCAATCAGAACGTGAATCTTGGTGTAAAATCATTGTATTAAAATAAACCTACGTAATTGTAACGTAGAGCTCATAATCAAATATTCTGACTAAAACCAACTGAGGTGAGGTTATGAATGGATTTAAAAAATTATATATACAGCTTTTGAACGTCTACTAGAGCAAAATCTAAAATCCATGTACATGTAACTTCCAAAAAACATACTAATCTGCGATTTGAGTTCATAGTAGTCATAAACGGCAGAGTAATTGCCACTTGATGTGACCCTCTCTCTATTTTTTGATGACAGAAAACACTCTCTCTTTCCAATTACAAAATGGAAGGATCTACAGACAAACCGAGTGGACTGCAAACAGTATCTGGCACACTGAAAGAAGAACAAATATGAACGTTTGATTGGTAAACTATTGAAACTAAAAGATATATATGTGACTAATTACATTCTCAAAGGATAAAATTCGTTTCCTTTCACAAAAATTAACCTGCACATATTATTTATTCTATAGTTGTTATTTTTAAAATTTATGCATTAAATACTTAATTGTTTGGATACTAAGTTTGATGAAATACATTTATTTACAATAAAATAGTACTTTGTCATATATTGCATTAGCTATTATAGTTACCAGTTCTAGTGGTATGTTTTCATAAGCCACCTCTCCGGAGGACATGATTGCAAAATTTCCACGTTTTGTAAATAATGGGATTTTATATTCTGTAACAGAATATAGCATGCTTTTTGTCATTAAAAGTGCTGGAAAAGGAGAAATTCTGACAACACAAAAATCAATGCCATCTCACCACAATTATCTTCATCCTCATTATTTTGACAGTCTTTTTCAGCATCACATTGAAACAGTTGAGGAATGCAGCTGAAATATATTAATATAAAAATACTGACTTGATTAAAACAAATCCTAAAATAATTATTCTCTGACTGTCACAAATATTAATATCATAGATTGCAAACAAGTCTCAAATTCCATTAATCTCATCTCTGCATGTCAATTGAAAAAAAAACATGAAAATAATGTGACTTTCAAAAAAAAATCTTGACTGCTTATTCATGAAAATCTCAAAAAAGCAATAAAAATATTTAACTGCCATAAATCCATGTTCCCATAGAAGTCTTTCAATTCAAATAGTAATGCGGAAGACGGAAGATTGTATATCAAGTTATTTGTTTTTAGTGATTTTCCTCCTTGCCAGCCGTCATCAGAAAACCTAATGACACGTCTAAGATCAATAAGAAGCAAACCATTTGTGCTGTCAATTAGATGTTTTTGTTTTATGCTGTTATTGCAATATGTGGTACACAATATTTTAATACTATGCAATGCACAAATAATATATATATATATATATATATATATATATATATAGTTTTGTGCCATGCGGATTGTGGGATATTTTGTGTCTTTTTCACTCACGTTGTGGGTATCATGGATGGTTTATGGGTCATTATATATTGACCCACAAACCATGTGCCTAAAAATTTGTTTATGACAATAATATAGTTACTATTTTCATTTTTTACAAAAAAAAAATTTTTGACCCATAATTACACACTCAAAAAATGACCCATAATGCAATTATATATATATGAAATCTTACCACTCTGTGGATTGGCAGAATTTCGCGCGTGACCCACAATTTTTTATATACTTCCCCATGAGTAATTGAGGGATTATGGGAAACAGCTAGATTTTATAGCCTAATTGCAGTGAATCATTATCAGATTGTAACGCATTGTTTATTTACATGTATGTCACGCCATGCATGAGCTTTTGCTTTTAACGTAATACATTGTATAAATCTAGAAAAAATAAGGTTATTAAATAATTTTATAAGTTTTAATCGTACTATAGTTGTGTTCTTCCTAAAGTCTATATAATTATTCAGATATGAAAGAAAGCTTCAAGTATATCATTTTATAAGATATAATTACTTTAAAATGTTACTATAAAGAAGGCGCGTTACCCTGATGTGAACCGTGAAGTTTAAGTAATAAAGGAATATGTCAGTATGAAGTCGCAGAAAATCATTCACAACTCAAGGATTATTCAGAAAAAAATTATTACGCGTTAAGATTTTAGGGAAGTGTAATCAAATCAACAGTGATTTTAATATTTTATAGATAAACAAGTACAACTGTACATATCCCACGATGTTCTTTATATCAATATATTGATCCAGAATGATGTATAGTTGCCTGTAATTTGATCCCGCAATATTCTATATCTATGTATATGTACATATAAATGACCCATAATTATCCGATACATGCATTACATGTACATGTAGAACCTTGATATAGATATATAGATATATTTATGTAATATATGTGTTTATAATATTAACACATTTATGTGTGAGAAAGAGATAAAAGATTTGGGAACAAAAAAATTTACGTCTAAAACGTATTGAATAAAACAAGTTATTCAAAATAGGACAATCACTAACCATTTTTCTCGCTAAATAGTCTCGAGTATTTGCTTTAATCCTCCCACGGGATGAACCTCTGCCATTCAGTCGATTGAATGGTCCCTGAAGGTTTGAAAAGGTGACCACTTCGCGGTTTATAAAGCGTTAACTGCCTAAACCCAGTATATATCCAACAATGTTCTTTTACTTTTTTGGATATTTACGTATATCTTTATACTTATATACTATCCCACAACAATATACTCGTACTGTACATTGATCCCGCAACATTATATATATACAAATTAATGACCCACAATTATATCATACATACATTGTACCTAAATATTGAATTATATAAACTAGCTAATTAAAAAAAGATCAATTAATGACATAAAATGTCTCTAAAATTTATTTAAAATAAAAGGGTGGGTCATGATGTTGGATTAAGAAATATATACGCATGTTGATCTGCCACTTTCAAGTCTTCAGCATCTGACCAGATGTTTGTTTTGTAAGACATAAACACAGCGGTTCTTAATCAATGGAAAGTTTTGCACCAAGAAACTTCTCGCACTCGATCATTTTGCTTTGTAACTTATATTATAGAGATACATTGCTTCCAGTCAAAGAGGCTTTGTTTCGGGATAGTGCATTTTGTGTATTGCGTGTTTAAATTCACTAATTATATTAAAAATCGGAAATCACTGAAATCCACAGTTTTTTTTTAATCATATTTCAATGTACATAAAAAACAAGGGATGACACTCGACATCTTCGATACCAGGAAGTGCCTCGGTCTACATTATAAATAGGCGTCGGAACCGGGGGGGGGGGCTAGGGGGGCTTAACCTCCCACTTTTTTTGCTAAGATATACATAATATGGGCGTTAAAATTGAGGTTTACATTTTTTTTAAGATTTAGCCCCCCCCCCCACACACACACACACACTTTCAATTAGCCCCTCACTTTAATTTTCTTTTGACGCCTATGCTATACAATTATTTAAGGTAGATCGCGGGTTTGCTGACGTCACAATAGGATTCGAGGTAGAAAGCTTATCGCTTTTACGTATCAAACTACAAACAAGCAAAAAATATCTTCAGCAGTATACGGTATTAAATGAAACATACAGTAAAGCTTGTGTAGTCTGTAAAAATATTTATTCATTTATAATTATAACTAAAGGATGGATCATTAACTAAAATAAGAGTGTTCTTTATGTTGGAAAATTCAGGGGCTAAAACTAATTCTGTTTATCAAAGTAAAACGCAATAATTCCTCATTCTTTGCATATATAATTGTCATTCAATTTATTTTTGCGGATTTAAAAAATTACATCATTTTTAAAAAGAAAATTGCGTCACAAACAACAAACCATGAAAACCTTTTCGCAATGAACATAAAGGAAAGTTTGTGTAACAGGAAAGAATAGCAAGCTTGAATAACTCGGTTTTTAAAACAAAAAACACAACACAAAGAAAAGTCGGAAGATGCCCCCGCACTTGCAAAATACTGCACGGACGAAAATTCATGGGAGGCAGGGAGGCGAGTAGTTGAATTGAAATTGTTGCAGAGGGATTGAAAGAGTGTGTATTTTTCAATTAACCTTTACATCTCTTTTCTTGCACTGGTGAAAATAAAATACGGATTGGCATCCATTCTCTATATAGAATATCAGTAAGTGCGACAAAACGAATTCCGTGTCCACAGGAACACGCCACAACACAAATGGCAAAGGACTGTTGCTTTGACATCAACACCAAACTGGCACAGTTTCGTGAATTATGTTATTTGATTTAGTTTATTTCAGATCAGTTTAATACAGATTAAAATTCCCAAAATGAAAGCTTAAACAACACCCCCTTACCCCCGGAATGGCGTGTCAACAATGTTGAGGTCAAGGCAGTCTTATACATGTAGTCCTTCACATGATATATGTATGTGTACCCTTCTAAGATGTCATTATGTTGATACAATACAAAGGCTGATCCAGCGCCGGAGTGTCAAGCGCCTGCCCTCCTATTTGATGACTTATTCGGTACTTTTGTAAAATTTGTTTTGTTTTGTTTTAGTCTACATGCTACTTTACGTGACTAGATATTAATTTGTTTTACACATAAGGTTACATATCTCTAAATCGTTATTACAAAGTTATTATCTTGATGAAATGCGCACTTGGAATTTGTAATATCTGGAATTTGATTTTTAAAGATCAACACTATTGTCTTAGCCATGCACAGTTATGTGAAAAAAAAAATAGTATGATCATATCTACATGTTGGGGGGGGGGGGGGGGGGGAGTGTCATTGATGAATTGAATTAGATAATTCTCAACAAGGGAGGCGTTCATCAATATAGTTTTGAGGTGATTTTGTTTTTAATCGATTCTAAAAAAGAAATAAAAGTAGTTAACATCATGAAATAAAATATGTGTACGTTCTAAATTGCCATCTATTCTTGCATGTCATCCAATAGTGATTCGCATTACATGTAGACCTGCTGATAGTGTTGTGTGGGTGGGTGGGAGGGGTCAAGGCAAGAGTTGTCCCTCTCATTCTGTAATTTCTGGATCCGCCACTGTAATACTTGATTTATTTAGAAGTCATAAGCTGAAAACAAACATGCTAAACTGATCAAAATTGGCCAAATTTCCCCTTGGATAAGACGTCCTTTTTTGTAGAATTTTTCCGCATTGCTTGAGTTTATTGAGGAAAAAAATCATATGACTTATTTCCTGTGTTTCATTGAAATAGTGCCACGCTGTGGGTAAAGTATGGCAACTTTTACATGAACATTATCATCAATCAATAAAAATTGAATTTACGGATAACATGCTTTATTTTGAGTGAATTGTTGATTAATTAATATTTTTTTCTGGTCACGCAGGTATACGAAAATAATGATGTCGCACTAACGTAATATAACGTCGTGATGAAAATATAATGTTTGATGGAAAATTGTAAAACTTTAAAGTTCTTTTTCGAGAAATTGAGCTCGAGTACATATTAATTTTTTTTTAATAGATCGATTCTAAATTTACTCCACATTTATTGTGTTGAGTAATATAAAATTCGTCTGCTTCATTTTAATATTATGAGCATGGTTTTGAAATGCATATAACGGCTTGAAAGGCATATTCTACAACAAATTTCATTGAAATAGTGTCACCTGTTCTCATCAACATTAGTGCATTTGAAATACAATTACAACATAACCACGCAGACGAATCTCAAAAAAAATTCAGAAAGAAAAATTTAAAACGAAAGGATTTAGATGACAAATTTTCAGCGTATGTTTTCAGACACAGTAAAACCGCGATCTACCTTAATGCCTGAGCAGTCAATAGACCAGAATATTTTTCCCGAGGTGCACGGAGCAGCTCTGCCTCAGTGTGTTCTATTGCCCGAGGCCAACAGCCGAGGGCAATAGAATACACTGAGCTGC